TCCGGGGCTCGGTCAGCACCGCGCCCCACCGGAGACTTGGCAGCCTGGGACCCCCCGGTGGTCTTTCTCCTAGTCGCGCCACCAGCAAGGGCAGCGCTGCTTTTGACATCGGGCGCGTTGGCTCGTGCCTCATGTATGCGTACACAGAGACGTGTATGGAGCAGCCATACGTCTTCCCTTTAGAGAAAAAACTAGATTTAAATTCCCTACGTTTCAGACCGTTTTGTGACCCAGATACATGCCACGGGAATATGAAATATAACATGAAGTGCCTTGGCGAACTTCTATTAATAGAAGGTATTTTCGGTGTTCGGGAGTCAGGCATGAAATTTCCTGACTTCACCCTTGCTGTGACTTTTCTTGACAAGTCTCTGGGGTCTGAATTTCCAAAGAATTTGTTGCTTAGGCACGTCTCTATTTTTGTCTCACATTGAGAGAACTAGGGTTTGATATTTTGGAGCGATGTATTCTCTGCTGTGGAAAACAGCATTGCAGGGTTCCAAATGGACACAAAACTGGTGAAGCAATTAAATACCAATTCTGAATATCTTTGCTTTTACTGAAATCTTTGTCTTGTGTCCTTTAACCCCAGGGACCACAGGGAAATCAGCTATGCAAACCACTCAAGAAAGAATAACTTGCTGGATTTATTAACTAGATTTTTATTTATTTTTGTACTGTTAAAAAGTTTCTGCAACTTCTGAAGTTCAAGATAATTTCTAGCACAGGTTATACAATTGGTGCAGCTCGCACATAACATCTCATAGCATCCTGTAAGGACAGTAATGAATTCACATTCCCCCCCAGTGGTAGGGTACCAAAAAGTAAATATAATTTGTACACCTGCCTTTCATGAAAGACTTTGATAAATATTTCTTGCAAAATCGACCACACAGCCGTAACTTTCTTTCCTATAAGGACATAAAAATGAGCTTTTGCCTTTATGAAAGGCATACATATCCTGAACCTCACAAACAGTACTCTGATTTTGTGAGCAAGACATCCTGAGGAATTTCCTCTACGTAGTTTGAGTTATGGTTTAACCATTTTCAGAGCATGCTCAGTACAGACTACAAATATTATAGAACCCATTATGGTACCCATAGGAAAGCTAGGTTTTCAAATGTGTCCAGTTAGACTAGCTGCTCTGCTTGAGACACCTTGGGCCCCCGCAGCTGCAGCTGCAGCTGGGCGGTATAGATGTGGAAAGCTTGGGACACTTAGGAGTCTCGAGTGGGGCAGGTCAGAGGAAAGGGCTCCTCCTGATCGGACACTTTTGAAAATGCTAGCCTTAACATCTTAGAAGTTACAGCTTTCTCAACAGACGTACGCATACAACCTCACTAAGGTTAAGAACAGTCGGTGTTCCTCCCTGAACAACTCCTCTCAGTCATCCTAGCAGGAGGATTACATCTCGCATTCTTTTAGAATAACTTTCTCTCCACGTGGTGGGATCGTTTCAGTCCTTCTGGAAGAAGGGAAGCAGACATCCAAGCACAGTAATGCTCTGCAAAAGGAAAACATTCTTCCCTACTCATGAGAGGAGTGGGGGGACTTGTATAGCAAGTCACGATCTCCTCTGGAATACGAGCAAATGTCCGGGAAACACATAAGCGTGTGCTTGGCCTACCAAGGCCTCCAGAGGCTGCAGGAGGGTTTCAGTGCTGCTTGTTTTGCAGGGGGCTGGTGGGTGGAAGTGGGTGCAGAAGAACCAGAGTCCTTAGGCACTGCGTGTGACCTCTGGAAATGGCAGATCAGCTTCATCCGGGTTTCTGTGTTTGCTGAGTGGAGAGACAGGAATTGCAGAGCTTCTTTGAGGCACCAGGCATACCCTTCACAATAATCCTGCTGTAGGCTTTTGGCAGATGCTGCAAAAGCTGCAAGGGGAGAAGACAAGTGTTACACAGGGAGACTCGGGCTGGAGTTTCGCCTAAAAGTAAGGGCAGCAAGCCTGATGGGGGGATGTACTCACCTCGGCTGTATTTCAGGTAGCTGACAGTCATCTCCAGGATGTCGGCTTTCTCCAGCTTGGAGTTGGGCTGGTGTCTCTGAAACTCCTTCTCCAGGAGCAGTTTCAGCTGCTCGATGCTGCTGTTAATCCGATCACGGCGCAGTTTCTCTACAATGGGTTTCCTGAGCTGTAACACAAAATGGGAAGAGGACAGTTAGCAGTGAGACTTTCCCCATCCCGTCTCTGTATAAGCTGCGGCTAAAGGGGTTCGGCCCTTCTCAGCTCTTTGCCCTCTCGGTCGCAGAGACAGCAGATACTTACTCTGTTCTTCTCTTTGGGTGTTAGGATTTCCAGGGAGAGAGCACTGGGTGCCATTATCCCAAGTGCTGGTTTCATCTCAGAGCTTGCGGGTTAGCAGGTGGAGAAGGGAACTGGGAGTTCCTCTATTTATACGCAGTGGCTGCATACAAATGTATGGGTCCTGAGCGACTTTGAGTTTCCCACAGTCGATAGCCAATCCATGCGTGCCCTGGGACAATAGCGAAAGCATCTATTACAGCATGGCAAATTGACTGTGAATTGCCTGGGGATAATACCCTGCTCCCAAAGGAGCAGGTGGACTGGCGAGTGTGTGACACAATACGGCCTGGCATTACGGCCCCGGGGTAAGAACGTGGGAAAGCGTTTGCCATCATTATAATCAAACTTCTGCCTGATGTTGGGAATGTCAACATCTCAATGTGCTGCCTTTTCCCAGGCTGTGGTGAAATTAAGCACAGAAGACTGATCCCAGGAAGAGATAATGCTCTGTGCCCACGACCAAAAGAGAGGTTGAAAAGGAAAAGATGCAGAATTAGAGGGACTAAACCCTTTCATTGACATTAAACCGTGCTTAGATGAATACAGTACCAGATAATTTTCAGGCAACTAAAGACTAAAATCAAGGGAAGAACCTTTAAAACAATTTGCACTAAGCAGTTAGCTTGAAATATTTTCCTCTCCATTGTTTAAATACTTAAAATCCCTCTATAAGTTATATTCAGAGCTCTTCCTTGCTTTTGTTTGGCTAATCTGGACTTTCCTATGGCAGCCCATGACATGTAATGATTATGATGCCTTTCCCAAACATGTCCTATTTAATTTCATGCCACTTTGCAAATGCCTCACTGTTCCCTTGGTCCTGAGTCTCCATGTAAAGCACCGAAATATATTTTCCCTTTACAGACAACTGAGATGCAGTGAAAAGTCAATTCTTGTCTATTACTTTGCTTGTATTATCCCACCTGCAGAATGTAAATACAGGTGCTAGGATATCCTGTGGCTCTGTTCAGTCTTGGGCTTTCTCAGTATATGTGCCACGTGTATTGCAATGAACACAGGTAACGAAGTGGAAAGGACCAGATAGAATCCAGGATTAAAAATGCCTTTTTGAGATTTTTTTCAGGCTATTCTAGGTTGCCTGCTCAGGTCTGCTGTCCCCTCAGCACAATCCAATACAAAGCTAGTCACATTTAGGATCTGTCAGTCAGGCATGTGAGGCCTCGTATTGACAAATTCCCAGTTATGCTTTATGGTACATCTGTTTCAGCTGTAGTATGTGGAGCTCTACAGGTTTAAGGGGAGCAGTGCACGGGCATAATTTTTTTTCCTTAATGCATGTTCCATGATCAGATGCTAGAACGGGGAGTAAACCTAGATTGTCGCTAATAGGCTAGCAGGTTGGGGATGTTAGTTTTTGAATACCTGTTTCTTACTACAACAATATTCATGAAAACCCTATTTCCTGTGTCTGCCTTTCAAAACCAGAAAGGAAACCTTTCATTTCACTGTCAACTGCAGTCAGCCTGTTTCAGCTGCCCTCAGCATCCCTCTCAGCTAGGGCCAAAACCTGTGTCTCTGGGTACACAGATAGCAACAGGTCCAGCACACATAGGGTTGTTGCATAAAAAGATATGATCCTGCAAAGGATGATCCTGTAACTAGTTATTAACCTGAAGCTTACAAAGCCCCTTTTAACTTCCTGGCTTCTCCTGGCAGTGATTTTCATAGGTCAGCCATTCTCCCCTCCTCCCTTTCCAGCCCAAAGACATTTTACATTTAGATGGATTGCTTAGGGTGTGACAATTTTAATTGTTGATGATTGTCAAAAACCTATAATTGAACGGGGAGTATGAGTCCTATTCAGAATCAGTTCCCTGAATTATTTTGTCGGCTTGTCATCAGCAATATTATTTGCAGCCAGGGCAATCCCTGGCTGCGTGTACTTGTGCCGTTATTGGAGCTTGAAGTCAAGCACAGGGCTTTGTGCATCTCTCAGGGTCACGAGATGGAATGGACAGCAGGTCCTGCCACGCACCGTATGGGACAGAATATGTTTGCAGCAGCAGCGGGCACAGTGAGATGGGAGGGAAGCTTTGACCCAATTTTCAGTTCTGGAAATATGAAATGAGTGGTTTTAAATAATGCCATCCTGTCCTCAGCACAATGCCCCTGGACTCCACAGGGCTAAACCAGCTCCCACTGATTAAAGCATTATCCCTTCCTTTAAGTGCTGGGCAGATGGTGCAGCAGGCGTTAGCTTTCTTCTGGGGACCCACAGAGGCACACTTCTTTTGTTGACAGTTTAACACTGTGAATGGGGCAATGTGGGAAATCCTCGGAACTGTGGACTCGCACCATCTGATGTGAATGGTGAACCAGGCATGCTGCCTTGCAGCGAGCACACAAAACAACAGCCCTCTGGGCTCACCAACTCCCAGCTTCTCTCCCCCTCTCTCTGTCAGTTGAAAAGATAGCAAATCTTCCGTTCCCCCCTTGCCTGCTTCACCTACCCTCTGTATACTGTTGATGGATAAAAGAGACACCTCCCGCCCTGCTTTGGTTTGATTATTAGGTCTGAAAACTTAAAGGCAACAATACTTCCCAACTGATGCTTCAGAATAATAAATTGTCTAGGCTAAGGCTGTCCCTAGAATATATTCATTATGGAGCTGGGTGCAGTACGCACTTTCTGCAAGGATTTCAGTAAGGAAAAAAATCCTGTGCTGTAGGCAGTCCAGTTGCTTTTTGTTAAAAGTCTGCAAGTACTTTGCTCAGTTTGGGCTCTTTTAAAATTCAGCTGTTAGCACAATAGTCTGTCCCACTGAAACAGGTTTGTGATCCAAATCCTTGTCACTGTCCTTCATATCTGTGGGAGGAGTTTGTGCTTCTCTCTGACTGTTGTGGCCAGAGTGAAAGATTGATTGTCTGAGGCTCAGAAGCATTCCATGTTTTTGGAATGAAGGATTAAAAGAAACAAATCCCCCAAATTGCCAAACATGTGGAATTGACTAAATAATGTGACACAGTAATTCCCTTCTTTGGAGGATGGTGTGAAATCTGGACCTGCTCTTGAGAGATGACAGCTACGCTGTGGACAAAGAGGCTTGCGTTCTTAGTGGCCTTGTTCCTCTGTAAATCACATCACAGTCATGAGTCAGTCTTCAAAATCGCACATGAAAGGAGGGAGGTGTCTCCACTCTCACTTGCTATAGATACTGAAGAGGGTAAGGGGAAACAGAAGTCTGCAAACAATTGTCAGTGTCTGTGCTTACAGACCTTGCATGTCAGGCAGGAGCCCTAGCTTTTCCTAAGGCAAGAACAACCACGTTAATTGTCTCCAACTGTAGATGCTCACCATTTGACCCTGAGCTATGGTGTGCAATCTGTGCGCCATAGATTGAGTTGAGTTGAGGAACGCCCACAGAGGATCCAGGAAAGGTAACTAACCAACCCCAAGACTATCATCAGTAGGCTTGTGTTCATTGTAGTCCATAAATCAAAACAGCTGGAGGACCGCTAGCCTAGGAAATAGGTACTGGGCCATGGAGCTTTCTGCTCCTGGTTTGTAGATGGGGATTTCAGCCCAGCAGACTGTTTCCACAAAAGCTGCTACTACTTGTAATACCAATTGGCAGCTTGCTTAGCCCATCTGATGCTTACCTTTCTGTGGAGGGGAACCCAGTGTATTGCAATGTAGCAACAGGTCTGGAGGAAGGTGGACTGTCAGAGAAGAGTACAGAAAACCAGAATTTCATTGTCTATGTTATGCAGATCCAAAAAGCAGAGCTCCTGTATGTCTGGGACTGTATTTATAGCACACAACTTGATGGCTTAAAGCTTTCCTTTCTATATCACTTTTAGAGCATTTTTATTTTAGACCATTTCCTACATTCGTGTCAGCCTGTCTCACAAATGCTATTGGTGGTGTTTTTAAAGAAATAATTACGATTTTTTTTTTTCTGTGCCTTCCTTAAATGGTTTAAAAATCTTTCTGACAACCCCTCTCGAGACACCTATTTAGTGTCAAAGAGCATAATGTTCCCAAGTTTTAAAAGGGCTCTCGCATAATACTGATCGATCAATGTGCTCCTTGGGAAAATAGCTCTCCAGATGGTCTATCGGGACAGGAATTGCTGGTCATCACAATGCAGAGCCAAAAAGCGTCACTAATGTGGGCTGTTGTGAGGCACGCTTCCTTTGTGGTCCCTTTGAATGTCATAAATAGGGAAGAAAGTGTGGGAAACTCTGAGAAACTCAGGCCCACACTCTGAGGTTAATAGGGGCTTTGTCAGGAGAGTATTCCTGGGCTGTGGGATCAGCATAATAAACAACATCTTCCCTAAGGGTGGGAATGTGTTGGAGCAGGGGAGAGTCACCCCAGGGGACAGCGGAGCAATAAGCAGCTTTGCATTCAATTATTATAAGTGATAATAATCAATAAATTGTAAACATAACCTTTGCTGTGCTAAGACTGGTGAAACCGGAGGTCTGGCTTTTAACTCTCAAGTAATTGGTAAACTAAAGCCCAGAGGGGCAAGTCTTTGGCTGGCAAAAAACAGAAGCAGTGCACTCGTACCAGCCATGTGCTGACTCCCTGGAGCAAATGGAGGCTTTCTGGTGGGGTTTGCTTTCTTCCCCCTGCCCAGAAAGGAGGCACTTACCGTTTCTCTCCCTTACACCACTCTGCAAACAGTAGGACTGAATCTCACGTACACTGACAGCTAGGCATGATCGACTCCCCCGCTATAGCCAGAGAAATGTAACGTGGCCTCAGTGCAAATGAGAATCAGACCCTGTGGTTTGAATGACAGTAGCCGTGTCTCTCCAGATGGATGCCAATATGGGTGGCAGGAGTTCCGGGCTGAGAAGTCTGACTGTGATCTCACATGAGTTTTGCGCAGTTGTCATTCCTGCGGCCTGTTCCTGTGTTAGCCTAGAACTAGAGGGACTGGGTTCAAATCCAACAGTCTTCAGTTTGTGCAGCTCTTCTTTGGTTTCCTTTTCTCTTTTCCGTTTATGCTGTCAGTTTTAAGCAAACTGCAGTGATGCTGCCAACTGTGACATTCACAACGTGGTTTACTTGAGTGGTAACACATTAGCTGCAGAAGATACCCGTCCACATAACAGCAGCAGACTTCTCCGTGCCATGTGTGACCCTGTTGCCAGTCCCTGTGGTGCATAGTCAGGTTGCGGTGTGCTTTGCGGCACATTGCATTTTGACTGAGTCTGAACTCCCCCAAACTCCCTATCCGCAAACTGCCTTAATTAGGCTTGATTTAAAAATGCACAGGCATGGATGAACAGCTTGAATTTTGCTGGGATTCAGAAGCTTGTACTAATTGACAAAGACAAGTTGAGCACAGCAAGGTGAAGTGACTTCTTCAAGATCGCTAAGCAACCACAAAATCTAGAAATATCTCTTCTGAATTATTTAGTACTTCATTAGGAAGAGCAAATCTATCTGCAGCATTGGAATCAGCCCCGATGAATTGCAGAACTGTACCAAAACCCCACCTTGTATTGCACTGGCAGACAGATGAAGAGCACTCAACCAGCTCGTGCATTCAGGGTAAAATAATAACCAAAATGATCCATGCAACCGTAATGAGGTAGAGCAATATGTTCTTGACCTGGCTAGCTGGCTTTTTGGTCCTTTCCATACGTATAACAAAGGGTTTCATCACAAATCAAGTGAGGACTGGCCAGGTACAGCTAGCAGTGTTTGAATGCAGTTTGATCTTGTCAGCTTAGCAGATCTGAGTTTGCTTAGTGCTTAATGAAGCAGCCATTTGACAAGATCAGATATCCTAGGTTTCCTTTTGTTTAAGGAAAAAAGCATATGCTAGAAACGAAGTTTTTCAAGGGCATCTCTCCCAGGGAATCTGAGGAGAATTAAAATTGTTGACCAATGGTGTTTCATGCTGTTACTCTATCTCTGGAAGAATTAGAGGGTTCCCTGTTATATATCCAAATCAATGTGTTACTGTGGTTAGATAATAGTTTTGTGAACTGATTATTTGTGCAGATTTATTTTACTTTGAAGAGAAGGGCAAATAAAAGGTGAACAGTCCCCACTGAACGCCTCTAAGGAAAAGTGAGTGAATGTTACTGGGGAAAGTGCTGTGTTTTGGAGAGATTGTTGGTATTTCAGGTGCTCAAGGGTGGCTTCTCATGCTTTTCTTCCTGCTTCCCCAAATACTTTCTGAATCCCTTTTTGCTTGTTCACCTCATCCATTCCCTCTTTGTGCAGCTGTGTGGGAGAAGGACAAGCACACCCTTTACAAGAGGTGCTGATCTTCCTGGCGTCACTGGAGCGCGGCTGACTTAATCCTCGGGAGACAGGAATGACGTGGCCTGCACACAGAGAGTTGCAGAAGAGTCGAACAGGGCTCGGGCTGGGACTGCGCAGGGATGCTGCAGTGCCTCTGCAACTCGCGGGGAGCCCGCGTTGGGTCACCCAGCTGGTGCAAGCCAGGTAGGCAGGCTGTTGTAAGTCTCTGTGTAAGAGGATATGCTAGATTTGTTTTCTGAATTGAGGTGGGGTGAAAAAATCAAGGGAGGATCATCTAAAAGAGAGACCATCTCTACAACAGGCTGGATAGAAAAAAACAGTTTCTCAGCTCCAAGGCACAGGCCCTATTGATGGCATGTTTTGGACCCTCAGGTGGATGCCAGAGAAAGAGAATAAAATGTCTGAAGAAGAGTATGGGGAAATAATTTAGGAGAGGAAATGCTTTTTCAATCTCTGCTATCCAATTATGTATACTTTTAGCCATATACGGGCAGATTTCACTTCAGTAAAGAAAGCAATTCTGTCATTGCCTAACAGAATTCCTGTTTAGGTCGCAGAAGGTGCTAAAATTAAAAGACAACAAAAACTAGTTCACCTCATTGCAGGTAGTTTCGAAGAGGAGGGTAAGATCCCCAAGCAGAGTCAGGTGCCAAACTCTTTGGAAGTTATTAGGAGTTTTGTATGTTGCTACCTCCTAAATGGACAGAAAGTATAAGACTGAACTCAAGTTGGTGGGTAAATTAATGGGGAATGGTGGAATTAATGGGGGAAATTAGTGATTTGCTGAAGTCTGAATAGGTTGCTGTTAAGTATCTGGGTCTAGATCTCTCAGTATCTCACTTCAATTTCACCTCCATTTTAATTCTTGATAACTTTTCCAGAGGTTGCTTCTTTGTAGGATCTGAAATCCTGTTCTGCCAAATGAATTTCACAAATATAAACTATGTACTGGAATGAAGGGCTCAGAAATATGACATCTCCTGATGGCTTCCCCACTGCAGGGGGGAGTCTATATGCAACACTTAGTCCAGGAGTATTAGCCATTTTAATAATTTCAAACCAAAGGATTAATGACTAAAACCATTTTTATTGTATTGTACAGTGAAGACACCAAAGTTGAACATCACACAGGATGAATACATCACAACTTTATAAAAGCTTTTTAAGCTCTTTAGCATGTTCAGTGAGTGATTATAAAGTACTTATTGCCTCCCTTCCTCTCCCTTTTCTTTAAGGTATATCACAGGCATTTCCTTTACAAAAGGCATCAATTATCCCTCAACTGAGAGTAGCACATACTGACATTAAGAGAATTTTCCGTAGAGCTATCTGTTATCATCAAATCTTTCTGTAAGAAGGTATACTAAAAATAGCATAAGAACTTCAGAAGAATTGGCATTTCTTAATAACAACTTTCACTCAAAAGGTAAAGGCTCAATAATCTCTTTACGATACAAAATACATTCTTCAAAGTGCTCCTGCTTTAGGAAGGTCAATACGTTATCTAGAGACAATGGAGCACTTGAACCAGTGACCCAGGGAGTTAGTAGAAAGATTTCCACTGGCAGCCACAGGCTCAACAGCCTTGCCAAGCAAAAGTGTGATGGAAACTGAGAGGCATTTGGCTCTCTAAATCACCGTAGAACTTGGTCCTCTCTTTGGCTAGGAGCCACCAATAAAAGCAGCAAATTTGCTGCAAGACACAAACACATTCCTTCACTATGAAGGGAAACAACCCAGCGACCCTCATTTCTTGTGACAGAAAAACAATAACTGCCCCCCTCCCACCTTTGGAAAGCAATGTTTCCTACTTCAGAGAGGAACTATTAAATCACAGGTCCCTCTAGTTTTTGTAGCTAAAACATAGGAATAAAGCAAAGTTCACCAGGTCTACCAGGGTCTCCAGATGGTAGGAGCAGCAGCCACAGTCTTCTGGGCAGGTTGCTTTCTGGCAAACAGACAGGGTGACAGAGGTGGACTACGCAGAGCAGGAGAGTACATGACATCTGCACCCATCTGAGCTTTGCAGAAATGCTTGATCAGCTGCACCTGAGTTTCCTTCTTGGGTTCATAGTAGGACAGAAAATACATAGCTTCCTTGAGGCACCGCAGGTATCCGCTGTTAAAGTCCTGCTCCAGACTCTTGTGAATGAATGCTAGAAAAGAAAGAAAGAAGCAAATGCAATGGGTTAAGACCATGACCAAAACATGGGACAGTGGTGACTCATGCATTAAGTTTCTTTCAAGAGCCTGAGTCCACGAGCCTTGCTCATGTGTCTAGACATGGTGTGGTGTAGCCCCTGCATGCTTCAGGGGCCAGGGCTGGACGGGAGGGCAGAGGCCCGTGGGAGTAGACTTTCCGTGGTGTGCAATACCTGCTCTGCACTCACTTTGGTCCTGCAGCTGGCTCTGCTGCTTCAGGTAGCTGACGGCCACTTCCAGGATGTCGGCTTTCTCCAGCTTGGAGTTGGGCTGGTGTCTCTGAAACTCCTTCTCCAGGAGCAGTTTCAGCTGCTCGATGCTGCTGTTAATCCGGTCACGGCGCATTTTCTCCACCACCGGCTTCCTCAGCTGTAAGAGAGGTGGAGCAGATCGTTAAGGATTTTCTGAGACCTGACCTCATTTCCCCTTCTGATGCCCGCCCTGATACGCACATGTTCAAAGACCCGTCCTTTTGGTAGGAGAGCTTGCGATGCTGCCTACCTGTTCCCCACTCAATTTAATTTTTAAAAATCTGTATAGTCTCCATTATCTCTCTTTAACCTATTTGTCTTCCCCCAGACCGCTTTCTCCCTCCTTATCTCATCTTTTCACATGTAATATTTATTTGATAGAGGCAGCCCATTGCATAGAGCCCAGAGCCTTTCCAATCCTGTCAAGGGCTCTACTTACTTTATTCTTTTCTTTTGGCAGCAGTTTCTCCTCCATGTGGATCATGAGAGCGTTACTGGGAGCCATTCTTAGTGCTCTCAGTCCTGGGCACAGACCCCCACGTCGGGCTGCTGCGCTGAGCGTAAGACTCCGCTTTGGCAGTTACCGACTGCCTCTATTTATACCTCCGGGAGCTTCAGCAGAGATGTGAGGCCGGGGATTGCTGGTGTTTCCCACAGCCATTCAGCCAATCCAGGCACACAGCTGAACAATAGAGGAAGCATCTATTAGCGCATGGTACATTGATTGCAAATGCCCCGGAGAGAATAACCTCCTGCCCACGCTGGCTGGTGGAGTGTGCAGCGTGGCTCTTCGGGGCTGCCCAGGGATCTGGGAAAACACTGACCCTCCAGCTGCTCCTCTGGGATCAATTGCATTCCTAAGTCCCTGCATGTGCCAGTCACATTTGTGGCGTGGAGGAGGCACGCTTTTGGGGGAAGGCGGGAAAAGAAGAAGAAGGGGAGCACTGCTAGGGTCAAAACCAACAGCACCGAGGACACCTCTCCGCTCTTTCTAGAGGGGGCACCTTACAGCCAGCCTCCCAGGTGCCGTTTGTCCATACAGTCGTTACACTTGTAATGGGTGAGCCAAAGTGTTATCACTGTGAAACGACAGGTTTGTTTGCATGACGTTTCTAAATGCTGTGGAGAATCTACAGTCAGGATGGTGGGATGTTGGATGGACAGGGTGGATAAATAGGGAATGGGAGGCAAATGGAAATGGTAACCTTTGTTTTTCTCTTCACACACCGAGGTCTGTGAGCCCGTTGCACCAGTGTTCCCATTGCCTTCATTAAGGACAGCCACACACCTCCTAGCAGAACTGGGCCCATGCCTAGTCACCCCTGTAGCTCTTTCTTTTCCCTTTTCCACTCTCTCTTTCATACAGACATTTACAAGAATGATGGTTAAGATGGGCTAAAGAATAGCATCAGATTCAACCCAGAAGCCCTAGGCCTCGGGAAGTCAGAGGCGGGTCGTAAATGGGATTTAGGAGCTGAGGGCCATCTTTGGACCTCAGCAAGGAGGTCAGTTCTGCTTCTTGCCTGAGGTTTCTGGTGCGCCCTGTTCTCACCTGACCAAGGAGCGTCACGCTGCCCCAGCGCAGGCTGGACCTGCCGCAGTTTGCAGAACATGAGATCTGAGACCATGTAATCGCCTCCCCATGTAACCTTTAGCATGTCATCCCCACTCCATTTTCTCATCTGGAAAATGGGGATAGTGCTGCTTGTTTGTATTTGCATGAAAACGTCAATAAAAATTAAGCAAACATTATTTCTTTTGTGGTAAAGGCAAGAAAAAGAATGAAGTTGTGGACACTTCAGGTCAGTTCTGATTTTGTCTTATGAGGAGAAAGCCAAAGACAATTTCTTACTTGGGAATCCTGAAGTGAAGCCTGGGTTTAATGGGCAGTTGACAGGAAGGAGGGAGGTGTCCCTGAAATAGCCAGCTTCGTGGTTTTCATTGTATGGGCCTGAATGGGCTTAGCTCTTTGTGAAGGGCAGATGTTGTCCTTGGAGCCCTTTATTCCCCGCGTTGTGGGAAAGCCAGGAGACAAGACATCTCAGGAACACTTTGAAGCAGTCAGAGGATTATGATACAAAATAAGATACAGCTCAGAGACCGTGCCCTAGCTTTTGCCAGCTATAATAAGGTGTTGCCCTTTTTCCTGTATTCTTTGGTTGGCCTTCCTCCAAAAGTTGGTGTCCTGTGTTATCCCCTTCCTAGCAAGGGAGCAATGGTGGCAGGCCTTGAAGCTAGGAGCTGACAGGTAGGCATGTACCAAGCTGGTTGAAGAGACTCTTCGGTGTCAAAAAACATCTTTTTCCCAACTCCTGAGAAGCAGCCCTGACCTTTATTGCTGTATTATAACTGATAGCCAGATGGTCTTTTGGGAGTTGGATTCTTTCCCTTTAAATCATTCAGGCTCAAGCACCGTCACTAATGTCGTGAGTAGTTGCAAGGCACACTTCTATTGTCCCAACAAGAAATGTTATCAATAGGGGAAAAGTATGGGAAATGCAGAGAAATTCAAACCCACACAGCCTGGTGCTAATAACTCCTTTGTGGAGCCTGCACTTCTGTCAAGGCACGATGAACTCGCATGGCTTTTTCACCGAGTAAGGCTGAAAAGCGCATCTTTCACCCTGCAGGCAGGGGTTTCTCAGAGATCTGTGTTTACCAGGAGAAAGGGGCAACATGGGGCAAGGGGGCAGAAACAGTGGTTCACACACAGGGGTGGGCAGCAGGAAATGAATCCCCCGCCCAGCTGCAGCACTGGCTGTCCCTGGGGCTGCTGGTTTGCTTCACCCTGCCTCAGTTTGCTCTTCTGGGAAATGGGAGTGGTGCTGCTAAACTCTTTCAGAGAGCCCTCTTGGAGTCAGGAGCTGAGCCCGTGTCTGTGGAGGGAGGTAGGCTGGGGCTGCTGGTTTGCTTCACCCTGCCTCAGTTTGCTCTTCTGGGAAATGGGAGTGGTGCTGCTAAACTCTTTCAGAGAGCCCTCTTGGAGTCAGGAGCTGAGCCCGTGTCTGTGGAGGGAGGTAGG